TTGTTTGTTCTTTTTCTTTAGATAAGACAAATTTCTGCAGAGGTGAAAGCTTAAGCTTTGTAATGAAGTCCATGATTTTCTTAAGGATGCTTCGGGCTATTTCTGGGGTGTCCATGTGCTGTGCATGGAAAACTGAGAATGGGGCGGTTGGAGATGCATAGCTGGTTAACTGAGTTTAATGGAAACTCAATTTGAGTAGCTTTGTGCTTTCTCTGGTGGGGGAAAAAAAAAGCTGCATTAAGTAGAGGAGCAGGTCTCAGTGTTTCTGTGAAAGGTGTTTAAAGGAGGCTTGAACGTGAGAGGTTTAACTGTGCTCGTCTGTTCCTGTCAAGGGCTGGCAGAGTTGGTGGTTTTGACACGGCAAGGCAGTGATCGCCTGGGGCTCTGGGGCAGCTTCCTCAGGAGCCTGTGTGATTAGTGCTGGTTAGCTGAGAAACTCAAAAGAGAGGATTACCTCTGCCTCCTTCAGCTCTGTAAGGAGCTAGGGGTGGGGGAGCTCTGTTGGACTGCTGCTGGGATGTTTGGATGGTACTTCTGGGGATGCCGGTGCCTCAGCTCCCTCTGCTTGGCACAGCTTCATGGTGTCTACTTTTTTAGGTGAGGATCGTGCTCTTTCTGGTTTTGGAGGGGAGGTGGCTTGCAGAGCTGTGAAGGCTTGTGAGGGCAGCCCCCCTGGTAACCTGAGCTGCACCTGGGTCCTTTGGGACTCCTCTATCCACCCCTGCGCCAGAGGAGAGGTGGGATGGAGGTGGAGGGGGCTTGGGCCACCCCATGCCTGGGGACAGGCCAGACTGTGAAGACCACTCAGGGCTGTGCTGTGTGTTCCCTCCATGCTTCTGGTGCTGTTGAAGGAGATCACATTGCAGGATGAAGGGCTGGTTTAGAGTTTGAGCCTGTGCTTCTCTTTTTCCATCCTTATTTTCCAGGGTTTCTCTGCAAAAAATTAGAAAATCATTTCTATGGGCTGCCTTGACAGCCTCAGAAATGTCCAGATGGATTTGAACTTTGGTGCTGCAAAGGGCTTTGCATACTTATTTTCAGCATCCTGCTGTCTGCTTTGCTTAAGAGCTTTTTCTAGATCCTTTGCATATGCTTGTCCTTGCTCCTCTTCTTCTGAAAACCATTTGAGAACACCCTTCAGCTATGGCAAAACACACCAAAAAAAAAAAAAGTCCCCAAACCTCTTGGAGAAATTTTATTTTACCACTATTTCTTGGTAAGCTTTAAGACTTGCATAGCTTGTGGTGTGTTGCTGTTTGGGTGCATCAGCTTGGTTTTGGAGACCTTAGCGCTTCACTAGTCTGTTTTGGATGAGTCTTTAGAGAAGTGAGTGGCTGGGCACATTCAGCAGTGAATGGAGCCATTAAATTGATTTTTAAGTGACTTACCTCTGTGCAAAGACAAAGCTATGATGGACTGAAGTATTGTAGGTTTCCAGATGTACCACTGTGCCATCTTTCTGAGGTTGTGCTTCCTGTCAGTTTTAGCTGATCTCAGGCTGTTCTCCTGCCAGAAATCCTTCCCCTTTATTTTCCTTTCTGGGATGGCTTCCAGTTGGATCAAGCAAATGATAGTTGTTACCACAAGCGTAAAGATGATTGGGATGTCTAGAAGGGGGAGGAGGGAAAAGGCGGGACTGTCTGTGTTGGCAGCCAGGAGTGGGTTTACATCAGTTAAGCTGATGAGCATGTGGGAGTGGGCACAGCTTGCTGAAAGGGCAGCTGTCTAGTCCCTGGTAGACCATGTCCTGCTTCTACCCCAGTTTTCCTCCTTGTAAAAGAGGGGTAAGGATTGCAAAATACGTTAATATTTCTTGGGAGGGTACAGTGTGGTAGAGTCCTTTGAGGTGCACTGCTGACTTCATGGATGAGCCGAAAAAGCTCAGCTTCCCAGTTAACCCAGGGGAGGTATCCCTCCAGGAGTACTTTGAGCACAGCTTTTAAATAAAATCTTCTGCTGAATATATCAAGGAGAATATTAGATTGAATATAAGGGAAGAAATTTTCTGCGATGAGGGTGGTGATGCACTGGAACCGGTTGCCCGGAGAAGTTGTGGATGCCCCACTGTTGGAAGCATTCAGGGTCTGGCTGGACAGGGCGTTGAGCAATCTGATCTAGTGCAAGGTGTCCCTGCCTATGGCAGGGGGGTTGGACTAGATGATCTTTAAGAGGTCCCTTTCAACCCAAGCCACTCTGTGATTTGATGATTTCTCTGCTTAAATACACTGCAGACCAGGGCCTGATGTGTCTCCCTCTCTGGAAGGGAGAAGGACAGATCCTGGTGTCCTGCCCTCCTCTAGCCATAAGGCTAGGGGTAGTTTATAGTCCTGCTCAACTTGTTATAAACATTTATCTGATCCATCTTAGGCTGAAAAGCCGTTGCGAGCATGTTACAGCCTTGACAATGACTTCTCAAGTTCTGTTGAGTGGGGAGCCGGTGTGTCTTTGGTCATGCTCTTGACATGCTAGCTGTATCTGAGGAGTTCATCATACGTGCTTGTGTTGAAGGGGGTTGTGCATTTTCCTGTTAAAAGCAGCACAGCTGCTCAGCCTTGCTGTCGGTTATGGGGGGGGGCAGAGCTGTTTGCTTGAGCTTGAAATTGCTGGTGTTGCAAGATCATCACAGGAGGGGGGGAGAAAATTAGCATAAGCCTCTTAAAGAAAACTTTTATTACTTCTCCACCCCCCTATTTAGACTTCAGAGAAGTTTCTTTTATGGTGGGTGTATCTGCTTGTGTCAGAGGCTTTAGCAAAGCAGCACAGTCAGGCTTGGGGTCTGGCAGGTCCTCTGAGGCTGTGTGTCTGCTCTCTTGGCCAGGGCCACCCTTTTGCTGCTTATGCCATGGTCGCTCCTGTGATGCAGAGCCCTCCTATTTCTCTGCCCCACTGTTTTGTTTGCACCCTTCACTCCTGATGTGGTGATGCTTCTTTCTCCCTTTCTAGGTCACCCGGTATTGCTCAGTCCTCTGCCCCTATGCTTCCTAACTTTAAAACTCTGGTGAATCTTTATTTGCACGGTAGATGACATAAAATGTTCCTGTGTCTCTGCAGCACTAGTTCAGTCTGCCCAACAAGCAACATGTTGCGATGTCAGGGACAGAAAGAGATCAAAGAGTTGGTGACGTTGAGAAATGCCTATTTTGGAGCTGGAGGAAGGCAGCAGAGGAGCTTTGCTGTCATGAGTGTGTCATCCATGCTCTGCATTGCCCGGAGCATGGTTGTGTCTCTGGGGAAGAGCAGCCCTGGGGCTAGTGATGCTGTCGGGCACTGCAAGAAGAGAGTTTGGGAACAGGGGGATACATACTGATTCCGTGGCGCTCAGCTGTGTTTCCAGTATATCTGGCTGCTGTGGGGGCAAAATGCTTTGTCTGAGAGCTGTGGTTGCTTTGGGAAGGCAAGCCAGGCCATCTTCATATGGGTTTGATTAAATCCAGCAGCAGCACTTAGAGAAGCTACAAGCAAGTCTGCCTTGCTCAGCAGTATCAGGAGGTGAGGAGTTTGAACTTTGATGGTGATGTTTCTGCAATGTTGTCTAATAGTAGCAATTACATTGAGAAAAATGTTAGAGGAAAAAGGAGCTGGAGGCTGAAGGGAGAAAAGTTGTCTGCATGGCAGCCATGCAGACACATGCTGAGCCCTGGCGCAGGAGTGAGTCGATGCCAACGCAGATGAAGTCTTAGGAAGCTGATGTAGCCCCTTTAGATGTAAGTCATATGAAGCTAAGGTATGAATTTCCTTGCTTGGGGGAGGAAAATTGTCTTTCCATACTTGTATAAATAAGCTGCCACTGAAGATTATTGGCCAGGTTGGATTTGTCATGTTATTTCTCTCCTTATAGAGACTTTATATTCCACTGCAGAACAGTGTTCAGTTACTGACTTCAAAAGAAAAACAGAAGGACCCTCCTGGAGGTACATAACATGAGTAAATAAAACTCTTGTGTTTGGCTAGAGTAGTAATGTAAAGCAACAGGGAGAGCAATTATAAATGGTGATGGAAAATTTGTGCTTGAGACTGGAGTCCAAGGTCTGTGCTGTGGTCTTGTGGTCTTCAGCATTGTTTTCATCCTTAGAAATGCCTTCATCCCTTCTGTAATGGGAAAACAGAAAGGGAAAAATGGGGGGCTGAATGGATTACGGTTTTTCTCAGTTCTTTGAATACCAACTGGCAATGGCTGACGCCTGTGAGTCACCCGCAGAGACTAGGGAAAACAAGCAAGTCTCTTTTTCTCTGTCCAAGGTAAACCAACACACTGCATGAGTAAGTTTTCTCACAGTTCATAACAAGGTCCAGTTGACAGGAAGTATGTGAGGTGTTGTCAGGCTGATCCTGTACCTTCCCCTTGCTGGTTTAGTGCTTTGACTGGAGAAGTTGTCCCACCCTGTTTCCTTACTTGCCCCCCACTTCCAAATCCTCTCTCTGTTACAGTGTGCTTGAGGATGATTGTTCATACACTGTGTTCATTGCTGTCCCCAAACCATTGCATGAAGAGAACAGGGAAAGTAAAACCATATTATGTGCGGTAACCTTTGCTTCAGTTGTATCGTCAGAAAAACATTTCCTTATGGCTGCTTAGAATTTTTTTTTTTTTCTGATACCTCTTCTTTGGCATGAAGTGGGCACTTGGCGTGCCTGCAGTGAGAAGTTTCTGCAGCCTGTGGAGGTGACTTCTGTCACAGCTTTTGCTCATTGCTGCTAGAGGTCTTTTGTGTGACTAACATACAAAAGCTTTATAAAGTAATCAGTGGGAAATTTAAAACCTTTTATATTATGAAACCATAATGGTGAATCAATAATAATAATAATAATGATGATAATGAAGAAATGGAAGCAGCCTGGCTCTGGCATCAGTTGGGATTCATCTGCTCTGCAAACTGGAAGAAATGGCACAACTGCTGCGGAGCAGATCGTCAGCAGCATCTCTGGGAGAGGAGTAGGGGAGTTGCAGAGGTGACTGCTTGCATCCCATTTATCAGCCTCTTTTCTGCTCTTCTACTTAGATGCTGACTTCAGTGCATTGACTCTTGAGTAGGCTTTGCTGGACTTGCCCTTGCTTTGGGACTCATAGTCTTGCCTGTTACCTAGGCTTCCTGCTGTGATTCTGGTGAGTCCCCTGACAGCCTCGTGCCAGGTACCTCCGCTGTGGTGCCAGGGCTAGGCAGGAGTGTGCTCAGGGCAAGGATCTAACACCCTCCCATCTCTCATGAGGCTGCCTTGGCATCCATCCCTTTCACCAGCCAGTTCGTATTAATGTCACTATTTACTATTCTCTCTAATGCTTACAGGATTTGCCAGTTTCCATATGCTGATGGGGATTGTGTTCTGGCTCTTTGTCGGTGTCTTAAGAGAAGCTGATGCTCTGAACAGGTACGTTTGCTGTGCTCCTGGCTGGGGGGTGTCTTTATATGTCCAGGAGTGAAATGTGTGCAAGTCTGGCCTTATGGGTGTGGATTGACAGATACTGTGGGAGAGACCACTCTGCAGTCAATAGGGTTTTTTTTTTCCCTCCAGATGTGTTGTGAAAACACTCAGGCAGCAGCTAAGGTTTGCAGTGAGCCTTGCTGACATCCCTCTGAGGAAAGCATTGGAAAACAGCGTTGCTGCAGCGCAGCTCCTGGGAGGCCACACTCCTTCCTAACGTGGGCACAGCCTTTTCCTTCCCATAGCACCAGCTGGGGAATCCCAGTCGAGCTTGTGGCTGCGTGCCACTGCTGCTCCCTCCTCCTTTACTGGCCTTCAGTAGCTCCCCCGTAGCGTGTGTCTGTCTGCTGTCCCGAGTGGGGGTGGGAGGAAGCTGTTTTCATGTTGATATCCAACCACGAACAAATCTGCTGTTGTTTTCCTAATGTACGACAAAAACAGCCTGTAGTAGCTCCCTGCTCTACTCTGCCACTGTTTACCATCAGAAGCAGTGGGGTAGTGCCTCCGCTGCACTGCCCAGGGCATCTCTTTGCCCCAGTTATTTGATGTATTTATTGCTTTAAGGCATCAGTGCTCAACTGAAAGATCTCGTCTGTGCTCTCTGCAACTGTTTGGTATTGTAAGTGGATTGCTTGAGTAGGTTCCAGTTATTGAGATGCCAAGCATGCTTTCAGCCATGCCTGTCCCTGTGCTACCACCAGGTCTGCTTGCACCACAATTTCAATCCCTGCATTACTTTGAGGAGGAGAAAATATAGGTCTGGGTTGCAGGCTACTTTTTTATTAACTGGAATTATGTTCCCAGCTGACCAGAGGTGTGTGTGCAACCACTGGAATTGGAGGGGAATATTTTGCCATTTCTGTTTGCTCAGGGTTAGTCTGAGAAGCAGGTGGATGGATGCTGCTGCACAAGCACCGATGGACAGGGAGGGGTTGGCCTGGCATGCCGAGCTCAAGCCTCCAGCTTGCCATGAGAATTTAGAGAGCAGAAGCAACTCCTTGCAAATGCCCATCCTTGATGGATCTCATCCCAAAATGGCATTTGGTCTGCCTGAATGACCCATTTGATCGTAGGAGGATGTAACTCGCTGCATGAAGCTTTCTTGATTCCTCAAAAAGTGAAATGGATTCATTATGGAAAGCGATCTTTCTTGAAAACCCACTTCATCCAAGACTGTCTGGGCAGCACAGCAAATGCACCAGAGAAGTGGGAGTCAGGGCAGAACTGTTTTCACTCAGTTCCCCTGGGGTTTTCTGGGGTTTATTGCACCGTGCAAGCTGACATGCTCTCCACTTCAGAGCTTAAAGCAGAGCTGGTTAGTAGAGCACTGCCTGTGCTTCCCAGGCTAGCCTTCTTTTTTTTAACTTTCCTTTTCTTAAATTTTCTAGTGTAAAAGGCCTCATTTTAAAGGGAGAACTGTAATGAGAAGAGGGACAGCAAAGGTACGGTGCCTCCATTTGCTAGCAAGCTGTCGCAGGTGTTTATGAGTCGGAGAGAGCCAGCACTGAGTCAGTGCCCCAGACTGCTGGTGACTCAGGTGGCAAAAGCCCAAGTCGTTTTCTTACATGCCTGAGTTGCAGTGAATTTCCTGTAATAGAGTTTCACCTCCTGTAGTGGCTGTGTAGTGAGCGATGTGTCATCCTCTTCCTCCCATACAGGTTATGAGCAGCTTGGTTCACAGGGGATGCAGGCAAGTGGTGGTGGTGGCACTTCTCTTCCTACCAAAACAGGTGGAAACTTGATTTACCCCATCACCCTCAACCCTACCTCTATCCTTTTTTTTTCCAGGTTGTTTTTTTTTAAGATGGGACAAGTCACAGTAGTTGCAGCTGTCTGTCTGTTGAGCTTGATGTGATTCTCATGCAAATCTGGAGGTTTTGTTCTTCTGGCAGGTCTGTGTTATCCACTACTTCATCGTATTGGAAAGGGATCTATTTTCTGAAACATGGTTTATTTTTAGTCAAGACTTTCCCTGTATAACTGGCAAAAGTTCAGCATTTGCAGCGCAATTTGCAGAAGAAGCAATTTCACCAAATACTAGGGCTGGGGGAACAGAGAGGAAATGTCATATTAGCTAGTGAAAAAACTAAATGCTGACTTGAGAAAATAGCTTGAGACACTATTGTGAGAGCATAAGGATGGGTAATGCAAGTTGAAAACCGCATTGTGTTTGCTGCAGTGGATAATTCTACCTGGGTTGCTCTTGTTTTTCCTCATGACATCTGCCACAGGCGTTAACCAGCAGTGGATGGATGCTAACTGCTGTTCAAGGTAGTCAGCTTTTTGGCCTGACCCTGAGCAGTGAGTTAGCAGTGAGTCAGCAAACTCCCCTGGACTGTAGCTCCCATGGGTGCACATCCATGCAGTGCACTGCACTGTCCTGTCGTGCCTGCGCTTGGGGCCGCTGGCGCCTCACCGAGGGTCAGGCTCTGTGATAGACAGGCACTACCATCCCGTGCTTGAGTACCCTGAAACGAGTGGGGTGGCCCATGGGATGTCCTGGGGCGGTGCTGCAGCTGTCTCCTCCTCTCCTCCCCAGCTGCTGCTCCAGGGACAAACTGTCTTCATTTGCCTCATTGCTTTCACCAGATGCTCCTAACTGCTCTGGGTCTTGAACTGGCTTTCCCTTCAGATGTGCAGAGATATTTTCTTGTTGTTGCATCCCCCCTGACATTTCCACCACTCTTTTCACAGAGGCATCTTTGTTACCATTAGCTGTTAATGCTGCAAACACGACACATCCGAGGATGACACCAGGGAGTGGATGACGGTGTGCAAAGCCTAGATACTTACTCCTTTGACAAATGAGACTTGGCTCCATGTGTGGGCACATAAATGATTTGTTTGCGCTGCGGGTTAACTCCTGCAGTTTATTGTTCCTTTTTTTTCCCTCCATAGCAGACAATTGCATAGCAGCTTTGTTACAGTTCCATTAAGAAAACAAAGAGAAACTGTTGAGTTTCAGTTTTCTTCTGAATGGTTGGAAACCAGAAGAAAGAGGGGAAGTAGCACTAGGATTTTAGTTTGCATTCTGCCTGAGTGGGTATACGTTGCCGGCAGGTAATGGAGCCATATCTTTGTGAAAGGATTGGGGATGAAACTTCTAAGTGCAGTTTCAGTCACTGGAGTAGAAGCACCATGAGAATCAAGGTAAGAGCACCCATCAGCTGTCTAGAGCAGTAATCTTCCCGGGGGAATTAATCTAATTTAACCTGATAAAAGAATTTATGCAGTGGGTTAAGTCTCTGCCATTTCCTGCTGAGCTTCCTGAGAAGATGGGGAAAAATTAAGTGCCAAAACAACCCTCTTCTCTCCTGGGGAGGCTTATGTTTTTCTAAGACCTGTATCTTCCTGATGAAGAACCATCTTTATCAGCTGGTAAACTGGGATTGTTTTAGCTACTGAGTTTTCTCTGGTTCCCTGGGGACTTGTTCATTGTGAACCTATTTGCAATCCCCTGTCCATCTGGGCATCTGGGATGCAGAACATCTTGCATGTGTCCCAGTGTTGCTGCAGTGGCCAGCCCCTGTGGATATAGAACTTTCATAAGGTTGAAGGTTTTCATTAGGGAAAGTTGATGGGTGGGTGTTTTGGTTTTTTTTTCTCCTTTTTGTCTCTTTATATTGCCAGTTATGTCAGGGGAACTTCTGTCATCTTAGTGCTTTTTCCCCAACAGGTATTTCTCATCCTCGCTGTCTCTTGCCCTCAGAGGCCAAAAGAACCAGATATGTTAGGAAAGCCAGTCTTTACTTTAAATGGCCTTAAGCAGGTGAATATTCAGCTCAATTTCCTTTCACAGCAGCTTGTTATGAAATTATCAGGAATCTTAGGGTTAGCTTTTCTTCTAACCCTTGGGTGGAAGCAAGGAGGGTTTTTCTCCAGTGGGAGAGTGCTTGGAGAAGGTGTCCACCTCAAGCTTTGAGTACTCTGGCAGGAAAATACTTCTCCTATCAGTGAATTTTTGCTGATACCGTTGAACTATGCTTAAAGTATGTGGGCATATATTGTAATCTGCTGGCGCAGACACTGAAAATAGCTGTTCTGGTTTGGACCAAAGGTTCATCTAAGCTGCTTATGTCCAAAGCAATACCCTGCCTCCAGTGGCGGTAGAGGAGCTGCTCTGGAAGAAGCTGTATGGAAGCTGAGCAGCCTAATTTAAGACTCCATCTGCTCTAGCAGCAAGTGTCCTGGGCTTTGAGCAGGCTGAGAGCTCTGCTAGGCAGCCCCAGGTGGTGTAGCAGGCAAGGAGCAGCCAGGTCTGTGGCTGAATGCTGAAGCCAAGGTCTGCACGTGTGGCTGCAGCAGTGGGAAGGCTGTCTCTGGGTTACCTGCAGTGAAGGATAGAGCTGACTTTTGCAAGGTTCAGATCACCACTTTTAAAGGCTTTGTTTAGCGCAGACGAGCAGTTGTGACCTGCAGATCTGTTCCTTGGGCATTTTGCCGTTTGTGCTTACCCAGCCCTCTAAGCATGACAACGCCAATTTAAGTGTCTTTCAATTTGCTTTCTGTCACATGTAGAGATCTCATGTAGCCCTTGTGGAGGGGCAGCGTTTGGTGCCTGTCTAAGTTGCTACTTATCCCTTGAGGTTGTTCTGCTTTGCTCTGTAATTACTTGCCACGCGTTCCATGCTTACCGGCAAGCAGCTTTTGCTGTAGTTTTTAAAAGGGAAGATAAGAACAGCGGACAGACAGACATCTGTGAGAGCTGCTGGTAGTGGTCAGGGGGAATGGTTTGAGCCCTGATACTTGCATGGAGCATACTCTCCAGGCAGATCCCATTGCAACTCCTGATGAAGTTTCCCTTTTCTTGGCTGACTCGTTGGAAAACCCTTTTCAGTCCGAGTTTGGTTTGGAAAGAGAAGCACCCACACAGATGGCTGCTCTTCAGCTGTCATTCACATTAGGGGTTTTTTATGCTCCTTTTTGCGTTACCCTCAGGTGAAACC